GTCCCTAAACTCATGGGATGTGTGATGGAATTTAGTGGTTCTCAAACTTTATAAGCATTAGTATTGCCAGGCAAGCTTAAAAAATACAGATGCCTGGGTTCCACCCACTTATCCCAAACATAATGACTCAGAATTTCTAGGAGACAGAGTCTAGAAGGGATTTTGTTGCTCCCTCAAATAAATAACAACAAACTAAATAACAATGGAAGCCAACTTTGGGATAATGCTGTTAAATACACAGGCCTTTTAAGGCAGCTCTGGCCTAGTTATAGGAGAACAAATATAGGTTAAGACCAGGATTCCCAACAATGTATGCCAAAGTGCCCTAGAGAGCCACAGTGAACTCGCAGGAGGGTAGAGGGGTAATTTCAATTTTTCAAAGACAGCACAGTGAAGTGTTGAACACTGTACAAACTACTACTTCAAGTTGATTCACAGATTGCATTACATTCCTTTTGATGAACTGTACCTTTGTAAAATTTCTCTTTTGGAATTGCTATGATAAAAAGCCAAGTATATTTGAAAATCAATGTGGAGTAAGAAAGAAGGGGGAAGTGTCCAATTTAATTCCAAGGTTTGACTGCCCAGTGGGTGGACACATCTCACTAGTAAATACCAGCGGTTATTTAATGAAATAAATTTAACATTTTTATAAAGTGAAAAACATTTTTTTTCAATTATACGTATTACTTTTCAAATGGCAACTAAGTTGTTAGGACAAATACTTATTAGGTTATCTACTTAACTACTTGAAAAACAAAACTGTTAAGTATGTCTTTGGAAAAAATTATCAAGATACTTAGAGCACCATGAATACAGACAATTTGCGAACTTCTGGGTCAAAGCAACCTTACAGTGAGATTCTTTTCACAGACAACAACTTCATTCACTTGGTCAAAACAGATCTGCCTCATATTACATTCTGGTAGAGAAAGCATTCTAGAGGAGACCAGAATAGTAGTACCTCTTTCCAAGGATTCTCAAATTAAGAACAATGGATAATCACGAATGTCTTTCCACTGATTAACCAATAACCTCATGACTTCTTTTCTTCCATGTTATATTTCAAATAACATTCCAAAGTAAAAAAAATATACTATTTTCTTTTCATGGTAAGAATTATTACATTTGTGCAAAGCCTTTAAACACGAGCGAGTCTCATTTATTTCACAAAATTTGAACAGACAGTAATTTCAGTAAGAGATGATAGAAAATCCAAGTCCAGTTATCCCTAGTTTTTCAAGCAACAAGTCACAGGAAAAGCAGAGCTCTCTAACCCTTGGTGTATCCCAACCCGAGCCTGGTCTTCAACTGGTCTCCAAACCTTTTGGGGCACAGAAGTACTTTTTTTTTGTTATACTACATCATTCCTAGGCTCTCCCAGGTATTATGAATTTTATCAGTTTTATTTTCTCAATTAATGTGAATTAGATTTTGAGACTTCTGTGATTATTAGAGATAAAAACTTAGAGATTAAAAAGCCAAGGGTAAACCCTTCTCCTAGCAAGTAGAACTTTATTATGAGACCATATATCTAAATACAAGCTCTGCCTGCCAGTTCAACAATTAAACGAATACCAAACATCAAGGCTCGCTGCCTCGCCTTGGGATCTTGTCTGCTTGTGACTCGGCACAGATAGGCACAATGGTGAGCAAATGGGAGATATCCTTCGGCATGTATAACAGCCTCAGCCATTCTGAGCACTTCTTATTCCTTACATCTGGGATATTTCAAATTGTCCTCCAAATTATTGGCAATTTAAAATGCCTTAAAAAATAGAACTTTTAAAGTGACTGTTCAGAGTCAAGTCTCTGACTAAAAAAATTTTAAGTCAACAAGCAAATCTTAATCGTGACTTTCAGCAATCAATCTTTCTTAGGTTAATAATGAGCAATATGTTCTTTAGAAACAGCTGCTTCCTAGAGAAACAAAGAAGATCAAATGAAAGGAGTTTTATCACATGTGAAAATTATTTTGAGAGACTACAGGTGAGAGCATTGCACCTACTAAATTCCTAAATGGTTTTGTAATTTTCAAGGTGAGGTTTTTCACTTTAAGATGAGCCTTTCAAATAATAAAATAAAAATCACAGCTATATTCTTTTCAAGTGAGAAAACTATTGTAGATACCAATTCTAACAGAAGCCCTGTTCTATGGCCCAATACATAGGCATACTGAAAAGTTTCAGAGTAAGAGTTAATCAGTAAACACGTCAGTTTGGGGTTGGGAATGATGAAAAGAGAAGCTAAAATTACCACCTGAGTCAAGAGATAACTTCTCTACTTTCTGAGTTTCAAAATTCAATCATAAAGCTTTCATAGAAAAAATGATTAATGAATGCAAGAAGACAATATACGTATCCCCTCAGAGAGACACTACTAACAAAATACTACGAAGCTGGTAACTGAAGTAAATGTTCTGCCTGAGAAAATACTTTCCACAAGGGAACATGAATAGCAGACGACCAGGACAATGCTCTATTTTGTTCTGTGTCTGAACTCAAATTAGCTGTTTAAAAAAACAAAAAACAAAAAACAACCTTAAACTCCCAAAACACTAAAAAGTAAAAGGGAATCACATCTCAATCTGCCCAACGCTTGACCAGCATGTTAGCTATTTGCTGGACCCTGAAAGCCAGGAGGGCACTGGACTCTGAAAGATCAAGTATCCACAGGCAGGGGAGCCTCAGAGGAAAAACTGTGAAAATACAATTAAGTAGAACAACTCCTACCATTTGGTATGGTGATGAAAGGAAAAATGAAATGTCACTGAGGATGATAAATTTGTGGACCCCTGACTTCTGTGTGAGGGTAAGGTAACAGAACAAATGGCTTTTCTTGAAGGGATGATTCGCTTTGCCTTGAGATTTAAGCTGAGATGATTCTACCATGTTCACAAAACCACCACTGACAATGCAGGTCCCAGAGCAGAAAGTCCCAGGAGTAGAGATTCATGGATGGTTCCCGGAATTCCTCTGACCAGGACAAATGCCCACTTACAATGCAAATTATTCTCAGGTTTGTATATGAATTAAGATTCATACTGAAGTGTCCTTGTGAGTTAAGACTCTCAAACAGGGAAATGTTTGTTCTGAAAGAACAAACACATAAGGACTAAACCTAATTAGCATATCAACATCTCCAGGTAGCAAACTTGTACCACCAATTAATTCAACATCATTAGAAGGAAAAAAACCAGAACAACCCAAACCTTATAGCCCCTCACATGTATTCCTCAGGGCTACGCTGGAGAAAGAAGAGAAACCAGAGGGCAGAGGAGAGGGCAGGGTCCAATCCCCAACCTTTCAGTCTTCATAGGAAAGTCATTTTCCTCAGAGCCTCAGTTCATCCAGCAATGGAAACACAGGTGTAGATAATCACCACATCCCTAGTTAAATATTGCAGAAAATTGTAAATGTTGTGGCTTGAAGGCAACATTTACATTCAAAGTGAGGAGTAAATAGGTGGGGAAGTTGAACAACTTAAAAATAAACAATTAAAAATTGAAAAAAAAAATACTTACACACACACTGGTTTAGACTCTTCCCCTAAAAATACTAATGGAAAATAGTACCACATTTAAAAGAGGTTTCACTGAAATTTCCAGAAAAGGAAGGCATATCTATCTGATATATACTCTGGAGAATGACAAATCATTGATCCAAAAATATACACATGGTTAAAGAAGATGATAGCAGCAATGAAGAAGAGAAATGGAAAAAAATTTAGGCGCAAATGACACTGTTATTTCTTTGAGTTTTTAAAATTAGATGGTTGAAAAGTAGAAAGATTCCTGTTTATGTCACAGGAAAGTCAAAGGTACAACATTTTCTTACAAAACCAAACCACAGTAAAATTCTTATCTGCCAGCTTCTCTAAAGGCAATTTATCCAAGTTGAGGAAATAAAGAATTGAAAGGAATACATCTTTCTCAAATTCTCCCTTTTTTACTCAAGCAAAAAAGTATGGTACGAGAAAAGAATGGCATAAATTTGCTACACAGAGATGGCTGATCCGCTTTTTAGCTAGTCCTTCTTACTTTTTTCTTAAAGAATATACATTTGCCTGTAGGAGGGTCTTTAGTCACAGGGACCCTTCACCACCAATAGTCACTCATGTACAACCTGAGGATGAGCCAAATTGCGAGAACTTACCTCAGGCAGAAGAAAGAATGCTGACCGGAGTTCAGTGAACACACCCTCGGAAACTCCTAGAGCCCAAGGACGTTGGGGGAACAACTTGCCAAGGCTACATAAACCCCAACACAGAGGCCCCTCAGTCAGAGCAACTCCCAGCAAGCTCTCTCACTGAGCACTGAATATGAGGCAGGCCTGTGCCAATTAATCACTTTATAGCACGTTATTTCACTCAAACCTCACCACCACCCACAATGAGGCAGGTGCATTTTATGAAGATGGAAACTGAGGTTTAGAGGGGTGAGGTAACAAATTGGAACCCACACCTGGCTATGTCCACAGCCTGTGCTCTTCACTACTACACTGAACTAATTTATTGAGTAGCTGACAGCAAGCAAAACTTAGATTTAGATAGCTGAAAACTATTGTTCTCTTATTAAGTAAAAAGGTTTCAAGCCTCAGAGATGATTCCTTTTCTTTCTAGTCTTCATCTCTTTCTTCCTCACTGTATCTCCTCAGAGGGCCCTTGAAGCCAATGGGAAGTAGCAACATGGAACAGGAGCTATAAAAGTCTGTACCCTTCATCACGTACTTCTCTTTGGGGAAATAGATCCCCAAGAAGGGACCCCAACAGGGAAGAAAGCAATTTGCTTAAAGATGTTTGCCACAGGATTATTTATGCCAGCCTCACACTGAAGAGAGTTCAAATGCCCTAATATGGGACTAGTTGGGCACACTATGATATATAAAATGATGAAATACTAAATGGGCTATTCAAAAGTAGGAAAATGTAATTAATGCAGCTCTATGAAATGTAAAATTACAATAGGGCTAAATATTTTAAATGCAACAGTATGTACTCACCACTTACAAACATAAAACAGTCCCACACGGATATAATTTCAGAACCAAAATCAGAGCGATATGAGAATTCAATCTGCTATAGTTTGTTGTGGTGGTGGTTGTAAAGCTGCTGAAAAAAAAAATACACACTGTAAGAAGTCAAAACAGAGATAAATAATAGATTGCTATGTGATCAGAGAAACATGTATTCATGCCAACATCACATGCACACTCTGATCACTGAAATTAATTTCTTAATTTGTGTTATTAAAATACCTGTCTGCTCTGTAGCTTCTTGAAGGCGGGCTTTAAAATAAAACCAATGGTATCCCGGGGGAGAATAATGAGGCGCGAGGTCCTTACATCAGTGCTGCTCAGGAGACATTCCTTGAATCCTTTCTATTTGTTCTATTCACTGCATTTACGAACTCTCTAAATCCCTCCTCCTTAAACCATAGCACTAAACCACTAGGATTAAAGACATGGTGACTTGTCTTACAGAATGTATATAACTTTATGTCTGAGCAATGCATTCACGAAGTTTTGTACGTTAGTAATTTTCTGAACGAGCTTGTACCAAATAATGTATCTGAAAACTCTTCTTTAAAAATGTGTTTTATCAGAAAATGTGACAGGAGGTTTCCATTACTTCCAGTGAAAAAAGGCTATCCAGCCCCACTGCAGACTCTGCATCTGTTAATGGGCTTCTGCAGCCAGGTGACAGAAGCCAGGGCTTACCTAGGGTTTCAGCTATGTTTTAAACATTATTAGGAAGGGGAATTTAATGAAAAGGATTTCAATTAACTGTTGATTAGCTGACAAAATCAGACATTCTACAGGACATCCAGGCAATCAATGCAACTTTAAAAGCTGGCAGGGATTAGCAAGATAAGCATTGATGCATCACCCAGCCTCTGCACAGGATGACATACGTCAGGGAAATAGATGGCACTGATAGGGGTATCAGCCATTCCAGGAACCTGTTTCATTCCAGGACCACAGCTTTGAGCCATAGGCTGTCAATCATTCCTTCCACCATCCTTCAAAATACTCACCAGAATTTTTAGGATCTTTTACGTCATGGTTACTACCACCATGACCACGACATCACCTAAACTGAATAGAATTCAGACAGGTCACCTTATGACATACCTGGCTTCTACGATGGGCAAAATCACAGAAAATGCAGTACCTTTATGCTTCTACTGAAAGTATCAATTTTAACAATCTTTCTTACTGACCCGCTTTCTCCTTTGATCTGTCACAAATTTAACTCAGGAATCAAGACACAAAAACCTGTAGATTAGTTATCTTCGGATTAATGAGCTCTACATTTTAGAATTTCCAGAATTTAATATAATCCAAAGATTAATCATTTCTACATAGAATTGTCAGCAGACAATATTAATGGCCTTCCATTTACAATCCTTCCAAAGCTTTCACATTTGCTAGTTAACCCTCACAATCCCCACATAAAGTGAAATTTCTTTAGTCAGGGACAGTCAATATTTTACAAAATTAACATCTCCAATATGAGCTCTGATGAGCAATAATAAAATTAAACAGATGTCACCAGGAAAAATTCTGTCCTAAAATGTGTAACTTGATTCAACTCAACTGGTATTTACCAAGTACCCACTATGCCCTAGGCAACGTGCTCATGTCAGGCTTCCTCAGGGGAACAAAAATGGACAAAGGCAGAAATTTAATAACCGTATGTATGTCCCTCAACATTTAAAAGGAAAAACCTCGTCCATGAGATCTGAAAGTCTGGGGATCACTGATTTGGGAGATTTTATTGCACCTTTCCTTTCCGTGTGCCTCTGTGACCATCTGGTTTCCGGTGAGCATCTCTAGAAGCAAGCAGCATTACCTTTTTTTTTTATACCACCATGGACTAGGCCATGAATTACTGCTCAGGGCTATTTAATGTACAAGACAGAAATTTATTAAAGAGCAATGAAGTAGTAATTACTAAATGGTTCCCCAGTGGCTCAGAGTCAGTAATTAACTACCACTGACTGCACTAAGATTGCTGAGTTATTAAATTGCACTAGAGAAACAGTTCATTAAATGGTACCTTAGTGTCCTGAAAGTGTCATTTCCATACAACTCACCATGAGCATACTTAGATACTGGGGGACTCCAGCTATATACGGGAAAACAACATGAGTTGTCACATAGTAGCCTGCTCCAGCCTGTAACCCTGGCTTTCGGCTGAATGGCTGAGCAAGCACTTTATTCAATTTCCCCCCTGGGAAGGCCCTTGCAGCCTGAGACCTGGATGTGATAAGACAGCAGCCCCACTGAGTCTATCACAGTCCTGTCTCTTTTACCAATCCACACCCAGTGCTGTTTTGCCGTTCTGATGTGAACAAAGGCCATGTAAAAATAAGTTATAATCTAATCACAAATAAAATTTACAATTTTTATTCCAACCCCCTCCAAAATGTCTTTTTTGTGCATCCTAGTTACTCCCTTCCTCTCGATTCCCACCTCTCATTCCTATTTTATTCTACACTAGCCATCCTTTCCCTCCAGTTAGTGACCCAGTCTTTCAAATCAAAATCCAACATGAAAAGTCACCTACTCTACAAGGCTTTACCTGATGAGGAGACAAGACATTGAAAAACTCTCTAAAACGACTTTAAAAGTCATCTCTTCAGATTCCAAATAAGTTACCAAAAAAAAAAAAAAAAGGCAAAAAAACTAAGTTGGTGTTGCCTTTTCTCCTAAGTGAAAAGTGCCTACACCTTGTTATTGCAATAATCGTAACAGGCAAAGTCTACGTTTCTTACATCTGTGTAATGCCCAAAGGGAGCATTATGAACTTGAAATATTAAATCACACTGGGAAGTAAAAGAACACACACTAAAAAAGCTTTTTAAGAAGATACATGATATCCTTATCATTAGATGGGCTCAAGAAGTGTAAAAGAGAGATAAGCAATTAACCAATGAACTGGTAAAAAGTGTCAGGTGACACCAGGGGATGGACAAATAAGATCAAGAAGATAAAGTTCAAAGAGGTGGAACAACAGGTCATTAATCACACAGATCTAAGAAAAACTCTCACAGACTGAAATGAAATGAACGGAGAAAACATTCTAGAAGAAACCAGAGATGGTCATGAAAAAAGTGCTTCTTTAGTTGAAACGCTAGAATACTCACCTGAAGATTACACCTCCAAATAAGAACTCAGGAGTTATTTTTTAGAATCCCTATCAAATTACCAAACAGTATTTGCTACGTTTACTGTCAAAAAGCTCTTTTTAGCAAAGTTTTAGGAGTAATACGAGAATATGAAGCATGACAGATTGTCCAAAATAAAGACTGAAAAGGGGCACTATTTTAATTGCGCAACCTCCAATGTGATGATTATTAAAAATGAAAGTCCAGAAAACAGGCATAACTGCATACTGGAATAATGTAAGGGAAAATCCATACTGGATACACATTGTTGGTTTTTTAAATCACTGAAGCTACAAAATTAATCATTAAACCTGTTCTTAATTAGTTATCCAAAGTCTATTTGCTAAGAAAAAAAAGTAGCTAAAGAGTTGGGGAAACTTAATAAATTAAAATACATTAGAGAACAACATTAAGAAAATCAACAAAAGGCTTTTCTTCATTGTGGGATAATAAAAAATGGTTTGACCTTTCTGTAGGTAGTTTGTCAATCTGTATGAAAATCTAAAATTGTTATACTCTGACTCAGTGGTCTTAATCCATTTACCCTCTGAGATAATTAGACAAGTGTGGTACAAGGATGTTTAATGGAGCATTACTCATATCAGGGAAAATAGTTCATCTATAAGAGATTAGTTCATTCATAGCACATTCAATGGAATATTCTTCAGATATTAAAAAGAAGGCGTCTATATTTATTGACACAGAAAGTCTACCATAATCTATTAAGAAAAAAAATAAAACAATGCATTATAATACGATTTCATGTATCTAAGGTTGTGAGTGTGTATATGTGCATGATGGTCATCAAAAATATGGGCAATAATAATCTTTAGTGCAGCTCAGATTCGGTTAAGGTTTCATTCCTTAGTTATTGCAAAAAAAAGTTTATGAATTGTCATGAGCCATCAAATAAATGAGAGGAGGTATAAATTCCTCCTGGGCATTAGTTCTTAAAGCCAAACAAAACATGACAGTGTTCATCCAGCAGGGGATAACAGTCCCTGCTTTACCAGCAGAGAGCTGGCAGCTGATTGGGCCAGAGCACAGGTAGCTCTAAATGGTGTGGTCTGGCTCTAAGAGCAGGGCAAGGTCAAGGTGGGGTGAGGCACTGAAGAAAGACTTTCAAAGTGGAAGTCAACCTGGGCCTTGAACTCTGCCCTTTGTCAGTCTCTACACCCTGATGGGGTAAGGAATCACCATCTGACCCTGGCTGGCCCATGAGGCTTCTGGGTTCTCTTCTTAATAACTGACATACCAGAGCCTGAGGAGGTGGTTCTGAGCTGAGCCCCCAGCACCAGGAAGCATGCCAGAGACTGGGGTCAAGGGCATTTCAGGGGAAACAGACTCGCGTGAAGGCCCTGAGCAGGGCAGGACCTTCGTGGCTGAGGACCAGAAAAAAGGTCTCAGGACTAGAGCAGGAGGAGCTGGGGCTGGTGAAGCAACAGGATCGAATCAAATGATCCTAGTGTGTGTCTTGACAAGAAATTTGGATTTTCTCTTATGTGCAACAAAAAAGGATTAGATTTAAACCAGGGAGCAAATATGGTCTAATGTGTAATCTAATTTACATTTTTAACAGTCCTGACAGCTGCTTGGTGTAGAATGGATTGTACGGGAGCTCAACCTTTAAGTTTTACTGAAAAAACTACTGTTAAAACTCAGAATGTACTAAGGCCACAAAGCAGAGTCCTTTTCTAATTCCATTTTCCCCCCATGTGGTACAGACAAACTCTTAGAACAAACACACACACACACAAACACATGTGGTAGGTGCTTCACTCTTTAAAAAACTACAGTGCATTGTAAGGTGTTCCTTTCTAGGGAGTGCATTTCTCTCTGAAACAACAATTTTTATTTTTTGAGTTTTTCCTCCAAAAGGCAAAACAAAAGAAAATACTAAGAAAAAATATGCTCTTTTATAGTAAAGGACTGTGTTTTC